AGAGAGAGAGAGAGAGAGAGAGAGAGAGAGAGAGAGAGAGAGAGAGAGAGAGAGAGAGAGGTTGAATGACAAAATTGAAATATGGGTCAAATTGCAGCCGCAATCTATTTCGCAGTTGGAATGATTTTTAAAAATTTATGTAGCGTTTGTCCTGGAAAGATCACAATAAAATTTACGAGTACTCAAATTTTTAGGTTTTTTCACGCATTCTTCTGAGCGCGAAAACTCACTGAATTTGGAGTACTTTTTTAGTTGGCCCAGGCATGGCTGAGTGGCAAAAATGGAAAATGTGCTGAATCGGCGCGACAATTATTTCGCAGTATAAATGATTTTTTGTAAATGTTCTATTATTATTTATGGAAAGAATACGACCTCATCTATGGATTCTCAAAATTTCAGATTTTTTTGCATGTTCGTCTGAGCAGAAAATCGCCAAAGTTGTCTCTTGCAATACGCCTGTTTCATTGTGCCTGACCTCCCTGTTTTTAGAAGACGGGGCTCAACGCCTGGGCCTGAGGGCCCTTTTGCAGATCACATGCCCTCACTTCTTTTTGGGGTCCGCTTCTGCCCGAGGACCGGTCCAATGCCCCCACTTCTTTTTGGGGTCCACTTCCACCCGAGGACCAGTCCTTCGTTTTTCCAAAAGTCCCGGTTCTACCAGAGCTAGTTGTAAGTAGTCCGCAATTTTGCGAAAGACCGGTCCCCCAAATTTTTTTGCCCCCGAAAAACCCACTTACGTCCTGGTCGCCCGCCGCCAAAAATGCGACACCTTGACACAGATGCCGAAGCCCACTATACCGCAGCCTAAGGGCTGCGAACTTTCGCAGACCCCACTGGTCGTAAAAAGTGGCCTGGAATCGTAAGCGAGGGCGTTTCCACTCGGCCCGCGGCGTCGTCAAGCTTACGTGGACCTTGATTTTCCGCGAAAAACTGCCCACCGGAAAGACGAGCCCTCGGGGACCACCTCCGTCGCCAGCGGGGAGCGGCTCGGGCTTGGCCAAACGGTCCACACGAATGAACCAGCGGACAACGTCGTGGTCCAAATGGGAGTACCGCTTTCGATGGCTGTGGGGAGATGGTGTCGCACGCCAGGCCGTTTTCTGTCCGTTGGGGTTGGGCAACCGGGAAAGGCTTGTGCACCCCAAATTCGAATTTGAAAAGCTGCAGCAGAGGGTGGTGTATTCGGCTCAATTTTTGTGTGGCCTGTTGACGTCCGTTGCCCTTCGCCCCCATTGCCCTGTTACGTTGTTGCGATGCACGTCTGCATGCGACCCCTGCGTGGCTCGGCTGCGCAGGTATGGAGGCTTGCGGGCTCAAGTTTCCCACGTGTGGAGGGTCTATTTGGAACGTTCGGGTCGGGATGTCGACGGGCTTCGTGGGGTGCTTGCAGCCAGAGCCCTGTCGTTTGCGGTAGGGTTGCGATCCCTGACAACATTGCGCACGCTACGAACTACGTGAGGCGAGTTGTCAGCGAGCGGTTGCTGGCTCCCGTGGTTGTGTGGCCATCTCCATCCGCTTCATGTGGTGGTGTACACGGTAGTGTCGACATCCCGAGAGGTAGACTTTCGGACGTTGTGGCACATCTCCGATTCCGGGAAGGAGGAGCGATCCGGGGAAGTTGTTCCTCGCCTTCCACGCGTGCGATGTTCGTTTCCCTACGCCGGTGCACAGCCGTCACCAAAGCGAGCGACAATCGGGGTGTTCATGTTGTCCTTGTTGGTGTGCACGCAGACGCTTACCCCCATCCTTGTTTGATGCCCTTCCGCCGAATCGACGTTACAGTGCATCTCCATCGACGTTGCTTGTAACTTTCGTGTTCTTTGTTGTCGGTGTGTTCGTCGCCATCTTCGTTACGTTCGTGGTTGTTGTTGTGCTCGTGCTGGCTGCCCTGTGTGTCCTTCTGCGTCGTAAGCGGAGGTGAAGCCCGTGGTGGTAGCCTTGTCCGAAGTGACAACATCATGGATGGCCACGGATGGGCGTCGGACACGCCCGTGTCGGGAGGGCAAGGAAGCTGGTTTCCGAGGTACATGGGGAACGAGAACCTCGGTTTCGAAGCCGAGCTCTCCATGGGACTGTCTTGTATGACGTCGGACCCCGAGAACTGGATTCATCTTCGCCCGCAGACATCCATGCACAGTCGCTTCCTGGGCACGTACACATCCGGCATGGACGGCTCGACGAGAGTTGTCACGGACCCAGCTCCACGTGCTCATCCTTTAGCTTCGTTAGCAGTGGGTGGAGCTGCATGTGGGCCCGTTCACACAACGCGGATCCAGGGCGGTCCTCGTCCTTAAGCCTTCCAAGGCGCCTCCTTTATGCCTCCCCCGGCTCCCGCGTGTATGCTGCCGCCTTCGGTCGACCACTTACGGACCGCCGCTGTGGAGAGGGCGTGGTCAAACGTCCGCAATGTTGGGGGTGGTGTCGTCGAAGATGTGGGAGGGGTGCGGCAGGTCGCCAATGCGCCCCCTTCACCTATGGATCAAGGTGAACGGACCGACTGACACGGGGGTGAGGAAGCACGTCTAGCGGTAGCGGATGTTCGTGTAGGACAACAAGGCTCGTCAAGCGGGAATGGCAACCGCGGTGGACGTGTGGCGGAGAGTGGCAGTGACGTGGACTGCACGGGCGGATGGAGGCGGTGCACCTGCGAAGAGGCGAACCAGGCCATGGCCGCTCGAGGAACGCCTCAATCTGGCGAGGTTCATGAAGGAAGATGATGCAATGATGACAATAGCGTCTGGTGGACTGAAGCACGCCAGACGGTCGGTGAGGAACGAGTGGGTGTCAAGGAAGATGAGGGAGGCTGGGTGGATACGGTCTGCGGAGGACTGCAGGAAGAAGCGGTCTGACCTCATGGGCAAGATGAAGGACATCCTGCACAAGTGCAACGCACCAGGGAAGCCGTCGTATTGGGACATGAGCGTCGAAGACAGGAAGAAGGAGGGAATCCCGACGATGTTTGAGCAGCCGCTGTGGGAGGAGATGGAGTGGGCGCACAGAAAGCCATTTGTCATCTGTGACAACACCATGGCATCATCGAACTGCCAGGGTGCTGAAAGCGGTGTTTCCGATAACCGCTTGGCAATGGCTCTTCAGAAGGCGGGGGCCGGAGCAGTGCGACCACCGAAAAAGACGACCGCTTGCGTAAGAAACGGCGTGGGGCGACGGGAAAAGACCGTGTTGGTGACCGCCCGCCGGTGCTGACTGTGGAGAGGGCTTTGCTAGATTCCCGCATGGCGGTGAATGAAGGGATGGAGAAGGCGGCTGACACTCTGGCCCAGGCGAGCACAGAGGGTGCGCAGCTGCTGGCGACCCAGGTCGGCGCTGTCGCCAGTGCCATAAAGGAAGGAAACGTTGTGGTGCAGATGTTGGTCGGCGTCATGGCTGACCGGCGGCGAAATGGGAACGACAATCGGGAAGGAGAACATGGGGACAACAGCCCCTCCACCTGGTGAAACTTCAGTCAGTGACAACAACAGCGCATGTTGGGCGATGACAGTTGGAGAAGGATAGAAAAAGAGGGAAAAAAAAAGTTTAACTAAAAAAAAAAAGAAAAAAAAAATGGAAAAAAAAATTGTGAAAGAAACAAGGGAACGGAGCGATGGAGGCACCATGACACGAACCAGAGGGGGTTCGTTTCATGGTGCCTCCTTCGTTCTGTTCCCTTTTTTCTTTCTCGATTTTTTTTTAAATATTTTTTTCCTTTTTTTTTTTAGTTGAACTTTTTTCTTTCTCAATTTTTTTTTCTTTTTTCCCTTTTTTGTTTGTTGAATTTTATTTTTTCATTTGCATGTCACGTCATTCACTTCCTCTTGTTGTCGTCCGACGACATTCTGACCGTCGTGACTGTTCGGAGAGGTCACCGACTGTACTGTCCTCATTCACACGGTGATCTGCCAAAATGTCATTTCGGACGGGCAGATCTTTTGCTGCTCCGCGTGTCTTCTCAGACCCTGTCAGGATTCTGCCAGGAAATGGCAGTCGGGGGGGGGGAGAGAGAGAGAGAGAGAGAGAGAGAGAGAGAGAGAGAGAGAGAGAGAGAGAGAGCAATTGGCGCGCGTGCGTATATAACATTGTGATCGCAGTCCTGAAGATCATAGCGACTGCGCATTTCGCCAAAACTCACTGGAAGGGCGGTCCTGTACTGGGTGAATGGCGGCGACCGGCCGACGGCGCGCGGGCGTGTGTGTGCGGAGACAGAGAGAGAGAGATACACACACACACAGAGAGAGAGAGAGAGAGAGAGAGAGAGAGAGAGAGAGAGAGAGAGAGAGAGAGAGAGAGAGAGAGAGAGAGACAGAGAGGGAAGGACGTCATCAATGTGGTGAGGGAGAGGGATGGCGGTCGTGAAGTGAACATCAACGAGACGCCG